GACATTTTCAAACTTAAACAATAAACTAAGAATGATTCATTACATTCGCTAATATATACCATTCAGGTACTTGATTGAGTACCTGAATTCACAGTTCACAATGTGCATGTACCAATTCAAAAACCGGAGAGTAAATTAAATCGATTTGGTCATTTAACAGGTTGCACCCACAATGTTTATGCTTGTGAATTTCCAAGGATTCTAAATAATTGAGTTAATAATTTCAGCATTACTTTATGAATGCAAAGTACCTATATGAAATATTGAAATAATTTTACCTGGAGGTTTCAAATGTCTTGAAATCTTCAGCTGAACTCGGTCTCCCGAGCTTTGTAGTAATCTAATAGCATCTGACAATGGTCTCTGCTCCAGATTGTCTCCATTTATTGCTAAAATTCTATCACCTACATGAAGAGCACCCGTCCTTGCAGCTAATCCTCCTGAAAGATGAATAATTTTTCACCAAATAAAGAAGAAACATATTTTCAAATATGACAATATTATGATGATAATAGTTTTCATCAATCCCAAGAAATGAAAAAATATGTAGCAGGAATAAAAAGTAAGTGGTAAATTAATGTTTTTTTGTTTAACCAGACAGATAAATTGCCCATTTTAATGCTGGAAGGAAGGAAGTAAATTTATTTCTCTGCAGTGTGAAATATATAATTTTGTCTCCGATTTGTTGTATGGTGTATTTGAAAATATTTTTCATACAAGGGATATGACTCATCATTTTTAATTCTCATTCTAATTGAATATTATAATTTTTCATCTTGAATCATTAAATAACATTTTCTAATAATTATTCTACTAAACTAACTCTAAACTCTTAAATGAAGGAATAGTCTCAGAGATCTGGCTCTGAAATTGGTCTCTGCGAGGAATACGAATCCTGCTCTTGCAGTAATTTGACAAGGAAATATAAATTTATGTAATAATTGATAAACAATGTAAATAAAGAATTACGACTACCTATATCAAAAATTCTGAAACAATTTTTTATCTAAGTACTTGGAACATTCGTATTATTTTTCCAATTGACTATACCTAAGAATGTTTTTAAAATATTTCTGAACTGAAACTGATTTAAAATTCCGTTTTATACTCGGGTCCCAAAACAAACGAAGGAGATTTTGGAGCGGAAGAGAATTGTACGATAGTGTGCAGAAAGGGGAAAGGAATGGCAGTATTTTACTCTCTCCGTGGGAAACTGTCTGTTGTAAGCATCCGAGACGCACGGGAAAAAGAAATTGTTACGATTTGCTAGAAATTAGGGTTGAGTGAATGGCAGTAAGTTATTTGAATGGAAACCACTGACCTAGCTTTCGCATTAAATGAGTGTGTCCGATGAAGACGCATTTTGACGGAGTTCGTGAGATCCCTTTTTGGGGAAATTTCGGTGAATCAGTCGATAAGAAATTGAGTGATGCAGCTTCATTTGGAAATTCACTTCAATTCTATGAAAAACTGATATTGTTTATTAAGAAAATTGATTGAGAAGATATTTTTTCATTGTGTTCCATTTTTATTCTATAAAAGTACCAAATTTGTTTTTGAGCTTATAACTTCATTCTTTTCTCTGGAACGCTAGATACTACAATTTTTGCCATTAACTATTTTTCAGATATTTATGAAAACGAGAAGTTTTCGGCAATAATCCTTGTAAAAATCATTCGACCCTTGATTGTTATTGTAAGTTAAAAAAATCAACTATCACAGCGAAAAACAGAGCTAATTTACATATTATCTTCTTATTGAGGAATTTTGTAAAAGTATTTAGGGTAAATTGAAATTGAGAAAATTCTTAATCGAAAGTTTTGGGGTGGTTTGCTATTATTTACTCACTGTAAAGTGTTTCTGAACATGACAATTTCAAGAAACTTCTATCAACAGCGGAATTCAATGGGGATCAATAATTAATAATACAAGATGTTGAAAAAATAACGAGAATTTTCATTGAAAATATATTTATTTATTCGTTCACGTCAAAGTTGTTGCCTTCAAAATAGTCTCCGTTAGATATTATGTAATTGTGCCCGGGTTTTAGGACAACCTTTAGCGCTTTCAGTGATGCGCCTTTTATGTCATCTGAGCTTGTGAAACGAAGGCCTTTCGAAGTCCTCTTCATTTTTGGAAATATGAATAACTCACACAGAGCCATGTCTGGCGAATATGGAGGCTGAGGCAACCTTACAGTATTGTTTTTGCTAAGCAGCATTAGATGTGTTAACTGTTGTATTTCCGCCGGGTATCTGCCACACGTACCTTCAAAATCGTAAGTCTCGCATGAGAGGCAAGGGTTTGATATCTAACCAGAACTTGGGCACATCTATCCATATCTCCGGAATATATTTCTTTACTATTCTGACTATCACACCGAAGTATGTGTTTGTGGAGTTTCTTCTGGACTTTGTCCGGACCAGTTGTAATTAATAATGGCAGCTGATATAAACTTTAGGTCTCATAAGTAAGGGACACCGGGGTTGGTTGTGCCATTTTTTCTTAATTATTCCGTAAATTTTTTGTTGATAAAGTTACATTGTTCATTTATTTTAACATTTATTCTGTAATGTTTTGACAACTTGAAAATACTGAAACAATAAACTAAGGTGAATTACCAACAACTATATATAAAAAATATATAAGTAGGCTCAACTGTCACAACTGACCCTATCTTGGGGTTGCTTGTGACACTGTTGGGGTTGGTTGTGACATGCTTAACCAGCGTACAAGTCATTATCAGAATCGCAATTTTGACATATAAAAAACGGATCTTTTTCGATACATTCCTCATGAGCCCAGTACATTGAATCCATGTTTCCCTTGGGAGTGAATTCAAGTACGGTTCTCCACAAGCTAGACAAAATTTGTTCGTTTCATCATCAGAACTACATGAAGAAACTCTGGCAGCAACAGGTTTCGATGGTTTGTGCTTAGACTGGTTCCTTGATTTGCTCTTGCAAATAAATCTCCTAGCACCTGGACACATTGGCCTTTTTCTTCAATTCCTTCTCCTGTTTTTTCTTGTATTCTTCTTCTAATTGGTCTTTATTAGGTGTGTCGGTCCAAATTGCAGCTCGGTCACGTTTGCGTCCTTTCCTAGTTCCGACTCGCTTCTCTGCTTTTGGTTCTGAACGTAAATCTTGTGGTGAAAAATAGGTTCTGCATTCTCCTGATGGTGCGGGTAAATTTGTTTTATCTAATAGAATATTATCTTCAGGACTCAATTCTGGACATGAATTTAAAATCATGGTCGAGTTTCTGGGAGAAGCTCCAGGGGTCACATTATGTTTGGGTAAAGAAACGATTTCATTCGCAGTCTCTCGACCTGCATCGCCAGGTATTTCTTCTTTCTTTTGAATGGATAGTCAGCTAAATCGTTCTCCATACTATCTGGCAGAACCTGTCGATTTCGTTTGTATCCTGCTTCAAGAGGTGCTTGGTTGTTACCTGAAAAAAAAAATAACGAACGTGATGATCAGGCTAGGAAATGAAACAAAAAATTCACCGTCAAGGTTTCTCTTCCGCTTGCAGAATCTTTGTAAAGTCACACGATTAATTTGGAACTGGTCAGCAACTGAACGTAGAGATCCATGATTTATTAAAACTGATGCTTGCTCAAAAACGTCCAAAGGCGTCTTTCCCCTATCTGTTTTTCGTTTATACGTTCTCATTATATTTCTGGAAATCATATAAGCATTACTTTTCAAATACTGAAACAAATACGGAACACATGCGGGACTGGCTGTGATAGTCACAACTTACCCCAAGTTGAATGTCACAACCAACCCCAACACGACATCTTTGTTTTTTTGCCTTCTTCTTGCCAAAAGGACATTGGAATTTAAAAAATATGAAAGAAACAAGAATCCACATACCTTAATGATCGCTTTTCCACAGAAACGTTAAGAAATAGGCTTGAAATGCCACTTGTAGAAATCTTTTACTGGAGGCGACAATTTTTACTTTGCACTGCTAAAAACACAATATTGCGTACAGCAGACGACCACTTGCTCGCCCGGTAATAGGAATTATACCTATGTCCTATGATGAGACGTTGTTTATTTCACCACTGACTATGCGCTGTTGCCATAACATCTACGAAAGTATTTGCGTCTGTAACAACTAACCCCTGTCACAACCAACCCCGGTGTACTCTACCGGACATGTCTGGTCTTCAATTGATTACAAAATGCAGACTGCTAGTCATTATATTCATGAAACTGTGTAACTAACGAGCCCATGCTGGAAACCGATTCGTATCTCTATCTGAAATGAATATAGTCGATTTTTCGATAATACAGGATCCATGGAGTTCCACTTTTCTGTAGATGGATTTGTCTATATTGATGTAAAATTTCATTTGACAAACTGGGTATTATATTACCAGGTGGTATTGCATGTTTTTATCCGCCTGAAAGGCAGACAATTATAACAAATAAAAAGACTACAGTTTTTGTTTATTGAAGACCAACCAAGTCCAGCCAAGACCAAAATACCGAAATAGCTGTCTGTCGGTTGTTACTTTAGATTGAAGGAACATGCCAGATCGTTAAAAATTCTATTCATTTTGTTGCAAGTAACCAATAAACGTTATTTATAATGAGCCCCGAATTACGTACAACTCGTGAAATATGCGGCTACCATATATTCATCCTATTGAAAAGTTATTTGGAGCAACTGTAGAAATTTCATGATGTTTAATGCTTTATAATTCTACAGTTGATTTTCAGATTTCTCGACTTTCATATTGAAATTAGAAACTTACCTTCAGTCAACCTTGATAAAACGATTGGATCCATGCAATCCTCGCTCCCGGATATTGTGATTCCAAGGGGTCCACCACACCTGTGGAGTTCCACCGTATATACAACGCTATCCAAGAATAAATTTGAGTTTTCCGTTTCCGTTTTCTCCACTTTTAGCGTCACGATATCGTTCGTGGAAGTTTGGAGGATATCGAAGGCCGTTTCCAGACTCAGGTGGTCCAACGGGTGATTGTCGATGGCCAAGAGGCGGTCACCAGCATGAAGAGTACCCGTTCTGTGAGCTACTGATCCTCGACGTATCTCGGATATGACAAACGGCTCGTCGGGTTTAGTTTTTGATGCTGAAAAGAAGGAAATCAAATCACAATAATGACTTCTATGATAGAATATAAAGTCAGTAACAGTTTTTTTACTAACTATAAATAGGCCGTGCTTCACCCTATATAGCACTTTATGATTAGCAGCGATCACTGGCGTTTATATGTATTTTCATCATCAGCATTGCATCCGTGCAGAGCCGAGGCAATATGGTCCTTTACAGCATGTAATTCAGTTGAATATTTTCGAGGATAGTACAGATTTAAAATGCACCGACATAGCGGTGGCGGCGGTACCAGCCTGGGGGGCGGTGGCCTATAAATAGCGCGTCAAAGGCCGCGCTCCGCCTAATAGAACTTTATGATTGGCAGCGATCGCATACGTGTATATGCATATTTAGTATCAGCATTGCACCCGTGCGAAGCCGGAGCGGTTCACTAGTTCAGAATGAAACGTCAATTTGAGATATTTCTGTAAACTTTACACTTCAATAACTTTAAATGGCTTCGCACTGACAACGATTTGTTGTTCCTCGAAATATTGTTGTGAAATATGCTGACCGATCCATAAATGGTTCGCCAGTAGGTACCTACACGCCGCAACAAAACTTTCCATCTCTACTTTCGCAGCTTGAGATGAAATACAGTGATACAACAGTGTAACCAAGTGCAGAATGAACATGAAGGATGGAGACACAATCCTAGTTCTAATAGTTGGTCTTTCAAAAAAATTTAAATTGATTCTTCAATTCAAAGTATCAGGATGATTTGTTCTCTTGTCAAATGTTGAAACTCAAGTGTTAGTTTTGAAAATCAAGGTGAATAGATGTTAAACTTTCTTACCTGTGATGGTTATACCTAGTCCTGCCCCTCTTTTAGGAAGTCTGACCGTGAAAATTCCGCTAGAAGGTACAATCGTATCTGCCACATCAAACTCAACTTGGAGAGTGACTTTTCCAATCCCAGTCGGTTCGTTTCCCAATTCCAATATGGAGTTAATTTCCTGAAGGGTTAAGTTGGGTTGATGATTGACGGAGATTAGACGGTCACCGACTTGCAGACAACCACATCTGAAAAAACACCAATTCATGTAATCATGTACGACGGGGATTCAAATAATGAAAGGGGTGTAAAAGGAGAATTGGTGTTATCATTCATAATTCGTCCACCCACCCGTATCAGCACAAAGTAGCAGCTTTCAACAGTATAATCCACAGACTGATGTGCCCTTGTCAGAGGCGAATTTCAATAACGAACTGAACATAATAAAACAAATAGCCGTCAACAATGATTACGACAGCAGTGTAATACATTCTTTATTATCAAAAAAGGTATACAGCCAAGCTTTGTAGGAAGTTTACCCAATCCAAAGAGGAAAATATCAAAGTTATAGAACCATAACCTGCAATCCACTACAAATAGGTATTTCAAATTTTCTGCACAACAAAGGTGAAAATATTGCTTTCAAAACCAACAACAATTTAGGCATGCACATTAAGAATAACAAAGATAAAAGGTCAGTTTCAGAAAAATCGGGAGTGTATAAATTATCATGTGGGTCATGTCCGATGTTTTAATATAGGTCAAACTGAAAGAATGTTCGAAGACCGCATCAAGGAACACAAAAATAGTTTCCAGAATAGAAAAACAAATTCCACATATGCCCTTCATTTCATCACAGAGGGACATGAGTTCAACCATGAGTTCAAGCCCCTCCATTTCTAGAAGATAGGTTAGTCAGAGGCGAATTTCAATAACGAACTGAACATAATAAAACAAATAGCCGTCAACAATGATTACGACAGCAAATTTATAGAACCATAACCTGCTTAGGTCAACCAAGTACAAATATTTCAAATTTTCTGCACAACAAAGGTGAAAATATTGCTTTCAGAACCAACAACAACTTAGGCATGCACATTAAGAATAACAAAGATAAAAGCTCAGTTTCAGAAAAATCGAGAGTGTATAAATTATCATGTGGGTCATGTCCGATGTTTTAATATAGGATAAACTGAAAGAACGTTCGAAGACCGCATCAAGGAACACAAAAATAGTTTCCAGAATAGAAAAACAAATTCCACATATGCCATTCATTTCATCACAGAGGGACATGAGTTCAACCATGAGTTCAAGCCCCTCCATTTCTAGAAGATAGGTTTGAAACTCAACCTGTTGGAGAGTATGGAAATAAACAAATCCAAAAACTCTCTGTATCTTATGAACGATCAAACTGAATTGGATAATTCACCATTTTTGAATCTGTATTTCCAGGTAAAAATAGTTTAGTATATTTACTTTTGAAAAATGATTCATATATTTATTGAATTCATACCTGACCTTTTCAGGTAGATTCACTCATTGGAAAGTAGGCATACAAATAGGTAATATGTCAGAACATAAAATAGTTGTAATTTAGAAATAACTTTTAGTTTACGCTTGAGGAAGCTATTGTATAGCTAAACATCATACAATAAACTGTAGTGATTAGTTTTGATATGTATTTTCATCAAGTATCAGTCAGTTCTATTCGAAATAAATTATTTCTAATACGAGTTGAGATCGTACTGGTATTTGTAAAGGATCATGACAACAGTAATTATAACTTGTAATACCACTAGTGCTAGAATGATTTTTGGAAATTTTTTCAAGGTCACGAATATTTTCCAAGTTTTCTTAAAATATTCATGAACAATAAAAATCTTTCGAAGAAAATTCAAGTATGCGAAGTTTTCGATGAGTACATTTCACAACTGGCTTACCCTGGCTCACTTGAGAATGAGGCCCCAGAGAAATTTGAGAAAACTAGAGAGTTGTATCACTGGAACTACTATAAGAAACTCAGAAACTTAACAATCAAGACTATTTTGAAGGAAAAAAGCCTACTTCAAATATATAATTCAACAAATTTTAAAATTATTGCGTAACATCAAATTAGAAATTGAAAATATTTGTTAAATAAGGCAGTATGAATGGAGCATGCCAATACTCTGTACCAATAGCCTTAGACTCAATAGATAGTAAAAGTAGTGAATTTTTATTCCGTTTGTTGGCTGAAATTGGAAAGACTGAGTGTTTTCTTTCTGATTATTCTGATAGAAACCTAAAGTTTCATTGTTGACTCTTCAACTTTTTCTGTGAACTTCTGATGAAGTACTTATTTGTGTAATAAACATTAGACAAATTATCAAGAATCGGTGGAGTAGGCTTTCCATGTATATGTTTCCATATACCTTTCTGACTGTGCTGATTTTTTGTGAAAGCCATTTTCCGGGTGTTTTGGCCGTAGTTTGCAGGTTTTTATACCCGACCTTTCGTCTACCACTGCGGTAGACATTATCAAAGGCGATGTCATGACGGCCGCAGTGTCCGAGTTAATGCTGGAGTTGTTGTTTCTGTTGTTTCCAACGCAGACATTACGATGCTGGTATTTGGGCCTGGTTTCATATTATTATTGATAGGTATGGCTTGGTATCTCTTAATTTGACTACATGACCTTGTTTCTGAACCATTAAGGGCAGGTAGCCAGATTTTATTTTATTTTTATTTCTATTGCTTCTCTATATATTCTTGAATAGTAATTTTGAGTTTTATCGAGAATGTGTGTAAATCCGAATGAGATAATGTGGGCGCCTTCTTTATTTAGAGCATGTCCAATTCACAATGGAACGAAAACTCAAGGGACTCTAACTTTCTTTGACGTTCTTGTAACAGACGTAAAGATAGTACATTGGACCACAAAGTGTACAGGAAACCAACACATACAGACAGGTACCTGAACAACAATTCTAACCACTAGCCACAACAAAATAAAGAGGTAATTAAAACGTTGGTTGAGAGACTACGATGTATCTGTGAATCTGAGAGTCTTCATGAGGCACTTCTGTACTTTCTTCTCAAGCTTATTTGTCTCAAACCTCGAATATGTTACCTTGGAATTGATAGATATTTTTTTCAATTTCATCTGCAGACCTTGGCAATTTTATTCATTCGGCGAAATAACCATTTCTCCTGTTTCTCTCGGTGGTACTTTTCCTGTGCCTTTTCTTAAGGCGATAAAAATAATTTTCTGCAATTTTTCACATCAATGTTAAGCATTGATGTGTATTCTTTCGAATTGATTTTGGAGTTACTGACCAACTTTTATATTGAAGGACTTTTGTCGTTCTCTGTTTCTTCCATAGGGTGACCTTGTCGTTATTGAACCATCTGTCTGATACCACGAAGGAAATAAACGTGTTTATGAAGTTCGTTTCAAATACTGCTGCTGTTCCTTTTCGTAGCTCGCCATCGCTCACAATTATTGTGATGCGCTGATATATAAGAATATATTATTTATTCACGAAAAAAACAATCAAAAGCTGACGATACCCTTTCGCAATTTTTCCAACTCGAATACCACGGTGGGGTATGTCACACCCCGAAACACTTTCAAGACTTCTAGACGCTATTTAATGTGAATCGTGCAATGATATGTATATGGGTATGTCATACCCCACCGAGGTAACGAAGGGTTTAAGCCACTTGGAGATGCTCCAATTCTTCTTGTAGGTGTTCCAGTTCACATAAAGTGCAAGAAGATGGTAAAGGGACAACAGTGCAATGCACTTTTACGTCATTAACAGGTAATAACACTTCGGCCAATAGCAACGCATCAACAAGAGAGGTGGACTACATAGGAGTCAACAAACATAATTATAACCTACGAACTAGAAATCATCAGTCATCGGTGAATCATCAAGATAAATAAACCTCTGAAGAATCCAGTCGCTCGAACTGGCGAAACGTTAGGCTTTAGTTCCAAACTACGACGGCCTTCAAACCCGAATGAATATAGTAACACTAATTATTGGAACTGTTTGATAATTTGTTATATTTCAATTTGAAGGCTTGTACAAAGTTAATATTTTTGGCTGTACTTCATTATTATTAATACGAAGTCACAAATATGGAATTTTTGGTATCTAAATAAGTAAAAAAAGATAAGGGTGATGTTTATATGTATTAGTGTCCAAGAGTCCACCTCAGGGTGACTCTGCATTTTGAAGATCACAACCATTTGTGTCACTAGATATGTTTATGAAATACTAAATTCGTTGACGATTTTATTCTCACCTATATGCTGGCGAATCTGTCACGATTCTGGATATCAAGATATCTGCAGATCTGTTCTCCGTATGATCTCCAACAGAAACAGCTAAACCGTAACCATATCCTCTTTCTGACGTCAACGTCACATTGAGAGATTCTGGATGGGATACACCTCTGTTATTTGGACAGCCGCAGTAGTTTACACCTGTAAAATGAAGAACTGGGTAGTGATTTGTTTCCTTCAATGAAAGTCAAAATGATCGTATTTTCCCAAAAATTTTAAAATTTACGAATTCCTTTGGAATAGGACTAAGTGAAACTTCAGAAGGAGCAAAAAAATTGAAAAAAATAATTTTGTGCTAGAAATGCCCAACTTATCAAGTTCTATCATGCATAGGTTATACATGCGAAGTGAGGTTTTATGTATAAGTTTTTTTCTTTTGGTGATGTCAGTTCAAATGATGAGTTAATGAGGTAAGTTTATTCCAAGCCATTTTGCATTCAACAAAAATACCAATATAAAGGTTGAATATTTGGGAGTGATACCAGATCCTAGGCTAACCTGAAACCAAAATTATAACAAGATAAAAAAAAGGCAGAGGTGGCAGTGACGCTGTCCTTTGCGGATAGAACCGGACATGATGTATTGACTCTATGCAATGGTGGTTTAAACCCATGAAAACTCAAGCTTCTTTGGTATTCTGGGTGATAAGAACGACAATAATGAACTGAGCAAGTTACTCGTTTGAGAATAATGGGTGCAGAAAGAACCGCATTACCAGCAGCCTCAGAGACAAGTTTGAATCTACCTCTTTTACATCTTTTGATGATGGGGGAGAGAAAAGTTAGCCGAATCAGATAGGAAAAAACAGAGTTATAACCGAAAAGAAAGTTTCGAAATATGTGGAGGAATCTGGATCAAACATGTTCATTGTTCAGAAACCATATGACTCCGAAGTATTCTTTCAACTTTGCGGTTGAAGTCATAAACACAATGACAGGAACGTGACTAGGTATTTATATTACGGCTACCCACTTGGTTAACAAACTTCTGTTTTGTGCATGCAATTCTGCCATCCGCATGGAATGTTAATTGTATATCTTAATGGAATATGTGGATCAATATTTTCACAGAAAGCCGAGCTGCACCTACTGGTCTAGAAATGTGGTGACGAACTGAAGGAACTTGGTGTACAAAAATGAACTGGACGGGTGCCAGAATACTCAGGAACCATAGTGTGTTGATGAGGTGAGTGAGTGTGTGAGTGGTGAGTGAGTGTGTTGATGAAAATAGATCATCAAATTCATATATAGACCCTGGATCAGCCAAGGGGATACCAAAATATCTGGTACTGGACCAGACCAGAAAATGTGTTGATGATAATATAAAGAATACTGTGAAACTATATCTGGAAGGTTTATGTTGGAATTCTGATTTTGACAATACTTCATTTACTTCATTAACTGATCATTCGAACTGACGTCTCCTAAAGAAAAACAACTTTATTGTGAGATTTTCTCTGAACACTTTACAAAACAGCAACACGTGTTTCAAGATACCTACAATAGCAACTGTATAGCGAAATACGTGTTGCGGTTTTATGAATTGTCCAGTGGAAATTTCACAATGTATTGTTTCTTGAATACGTTATGAATTTTCATTGAGTATCGACTAATTCCATCGCATATAAAACGATTTTGGAGGTTGATAATTTGGATAATCCAGTAGAAATATGAGAAATGTATCAAGTATTTTCGAAAAATCGTTAAATCACTTCATATGATAACTATAAATTGTTGCTGAATTTGATGGGCATTTCATCACAAAATCAGTTTTACCACCACTCAGCGACACCTATGAACAACTGTAAGCAGTCTTCAGGAGACTCATAATAGGACGTCATCTAAAATACCTTTTCCAGATGTGTATTCACTTCTTAAGCTGAAAAAAGTTGATTAAAATTGAAGTAACCTTTCAAATTATTGTAATAATTCCGATAAAATTAAATTCAGTTGACTTCTTTTCCATAGTAGAAGTTACTACACATTGTTCTCATCCATATTGAAATCCAGCATACTTTCTTTGTTCCGTTCATGCATTTTCATCAAATTGTCAGTTTCGAATTCTTTATCGGTCCCTTTTCCGAAAGAGAACCGTAATTTTCTTGCCACGTTCCGCTTATAAAAGACTGAAAATGTAGTTTCCTTTCATTTCTTTATACCCATATTTCATATAAATAATTCTTTTCATAGAGTAGAAAATTTAGTATTTCTGTATTTCATCATTCGCCGAATACTGGAATTCAGAACATTCATCCTATGTCTTTTCGTTTTATTGCATGTATTCAATCCCTGAATTATTGATTTTTTTGATGCTTCAGATACTCGTTGGGAAATGCGACAACGACGAAGGCGCAACATAAATAAAAACTGCATTTTCTTAAAAAGTTACCTTCCACTGAGTGGGTACATATAGTTAGCGTTTTCGCAAAACTGAATCAAGCAGGATTGCCTTCATTTCATGAATAATAAAAAAACGCATGATTCGGCTTCATGTTGAATGTATTTAAAGTTTTTATAGGATGGAAAGCCAAAATGAACCAGAGATACAATTTCGCAAATGTTAACATTTTCAGGACACAATTCAAAACGTCAATAATGGCAATATTGAATTTCTGATTAATTTGGATATGTAGCAAGTGAAGCAACTATTATGTCAAAAATTATTCAGTAGCGGGTCACAAATATATTTAATAACTTACCACATGGAAAAATGACTAACCTGTTTCATTTTCCTCGTTCGTGAAAGAGCTGGCTGTGGAAATTACGGAAAATTAAATCACCTTGTGATCCCTGGTAGATATTGTATTTGTAAAATACTGTATTTGAAACATATGATTTTTGTAAAACATCAATAGGTCATATTGTTTCGAACTATCGCCGTCACTAATGCCAAATCTTTATGAAGGTTTTCAATAAGTGAGTAGAACGTTTGATCAAATTGAATAACCTCATTCAATCATTCAAAATTATAATAGAACACTGTCAAATTCAATTGTACTCTATAATTATCGCACTTATTTCACTTGCTCATTACCGCTTGTAACCTCTGAAATAATGTGCGACCGGAACTAATGTTCAAATCGACTAATCTCTACGAACTGATCTAATATATCTATGCAACTTGACGCCCTTGTATATAAACGGGAAATTTCTTGTAGTACATTGCGATGGTGATGATACAGATTACAATTTGGAAGTCTGATTACCTTCTTCAAAGAGGCAACTTTGGGAGTGCAAGTGCAAAAGTTTGCATAATCATGATGTTACCAACGGGGAGGAAGATCATCATTGTCGAAAGCCAATGTTTATATGTCAGTGACCAGTGGTTTGTACCATATAGTTAAGTGGATGATATACTCGTAAATCAAAACTTTATCCGTTTGGTCACCAAGAAGGCAGCTTTTCATCTCATTTGTGGTTTGAAACAAAATACAATCATAATTCTTCAATAAAGTCTCTTTTCATGGGATGTTTTTCTACCAAAGCAAGAGCTAATACATTTGCGGCATCATTTTCGCCAAGTTCCTTCTTTTCTTTGTTGAGGTCAAGAAAACAAGAAGTTTTTCAATTATTCTCATTATAGTGAAACGTGTAAGACTGAAAAATCCTGCACCTTTTCTCTCTGTGCAATTGAAGGGGTGACTGTTAAAAAGTAACTTGTTCACTTTTTGTTATTTTGATAGAAACTCAGAAAGCTTTCTGAACTAAATAGTGGAATCACATGATTTTTACAGCATGTTATCATTTCCCAAAAAAAAATTCAAATGACAGAGGTTTCTCAGACACTTTTTAACAGTTCCGGTTATCAGCACATTTGGGTGATGAAAACAATGAACTAAATATGTTGAACCATGTTTATTTGGATGATTTTCAAGAAAGACGCATAAAAAACCTAGTAAACCTAACGTAAACCAAGTGGAAACCCAGAAAATTCCAAAACGAACAATATCGAAAGATAGGTTGTTTCTGTTCATAAAATTCAATTAACTCGTCTTCTTCAGCAGAAGTTTCCATTGTCGTGGGCCGAAGGACCACGCATGTGAAAAATATCATAAATCGAGAAATTGAGATCCTTTTTCACTCCAAAATGTACGTTCATCCTTGACTTTAAAAAAACTCAGGTCTTTCACAATCGCTCATTCAATTTGCCAAAGCCCCTAATACCGAACAAAGTAAATTATCTGCTGTAAAATTGAAATAATTTGAAATTAATACTACAAATTGTAACCTGTTTATATGAACTCATTTTACGTAGATCAATAGTATAATTTCATTTTATCTGAAATTTTGTTTGGTGTCACAATTTCTCATCCTTAATAATTTTTCTCACTAACATTTTGACGTATCATGAACAAAGAAAGGTATATGCTTCATAAAGAACAAATATTCTTGAAATCCTTCTCTCACTAATCAGAACACAATTCAATAATTTCAAAATAAAACGCACCTCTTGTAACATCACTTCTGTAATTATGTTTTTTGACCGTGGGCTGCAGGTTTTTATGCATGACATTCCGCCTAGTACTACGGTAGACATTATCAAAGGCTATGTGGTAACGGTCGCTGTGCCCGAGTTGGTGCTGGAATTGCTGTTTCCGTTTCGAATGCAGTAACTACAATGCTGTGGAAAGTCATCTTGGTTTTGATCAGGTTGGAGCCTGGCTCCCTTACCCTTTCAACTGGTGTTTGTCAGAGGGACAAATGGGTCCTAACTGGTGGTGGCATGGCGACATGAATGTTCTCAGACATCAGTCCCGCCCTTCACGGTGTACCCCTACCCGGCTGAAGTGAAATGGATGAAAAAATTGTTCACTCGACAGAGTGTCGGGAGGAGTCGTCTACTGCATAATCTATAGCTTCTCTAACTAACGGATTATCGTGAGTTTCTGCGCAATCAAAAACTCGCTGATTCCTCGACTAAATGGACTACCCAATGGAAGGTAACTGCAAATCTCTGCGAATGGCTTCATTCCGCACGAACCACGGAGCATTCACGATCATCCGTATTATCTTGTTTTACAATCTCTCCAGAATGGAGATATTAAATGGAGCGGCTTGTCCCCAGATGCCTGAAGCATACATGATGACAGGCTTGAACATCGTGTTGTAGATGGTAATTTTGTTTTTAAGGCTCATTTGAGATATTCTGTTGATCAGAGGGTACATTCTAGCTATCCGGCCTTCGATCCTTGATTTAACGGATATAATGTGCGGGTTCCAGTGCGTTCTTCTCATGGTTATCGCCTGAGTTTTTTCTGGGTTCTCTCAGATCTTCCACTCGAGGTACCAGCGCTCGAGGTCGTCCAATGCACGTTGCATGTAGACGATCCCGAGCTCCCGACCCATGGAAGATGAGAGGAGAGCCGTCTCATCGGCATATAGAGACACCTTCACACGCTCGGACCTCGGGAGGTCGCTGGTGTATAGCGAGTATAACTTGGGAGAGAGCACAGCTCCCTGTGGCACTCCAGCGAGGATCTCTCTGTTGCCAGACAGAGCCCTCTACTCTAACCTGAAATGTTCTGTCTACAATGCTTGTATCTGACTCTGGTTTCATATACTTATTAGTAGGCGTGGCTTAGTTTCTCCCAATTGGATTACCTGACTTTGTGTACCTTTGTGTAGCCAGATTTCATTATTGTTCATTGCCTCTTTTTTTCTATTTCCATAGAATCTTTATAAAAAATTGATAATAATCGCACACAAGTATTTGAATGTTGAATTGAGAATCTTTCGACATTGGATTTAATAACATATATTCTTCATACAATAGAAAGATAAATTGACTGGATTAGTGATCCAATAATTTTTTCAAGAAGAGTTAGTTGGTAACAGGATCTTTGTTTGCTTGAGTTTCACAATTAATAACGTTCCCGAATCTTCAATATCATCTAATATTACCTGGCTAATTTCACAAATTCGACAAGCTCTTGCAATCCCAAATAAAACAAAAACCTTGGCCATTAAATAAACTTCATCGGGAGCATTATTTAAAAAGTCACTAATATCTGTACTCGTAAATATCGCAGCTTTCTTGGGCGTGTAACCTTTCTTATTTTGTTTCAGAAATGTAATTGGTTTGAAATATTTTGAAATGTCTACATTATCATTGGATTGTAAGATACTTTTAATCATTGAATAATTCGACCAGACTGTTGATGGCTTTTGTTGTGCTACTTCCGAAAAATAAGCCAATAACACCGTCTCCGAAAAAGAACTGCATGTATTTTTCATTTTCCATTTCATGAATCTTGAATACGCGGTTTCATAAATTTTCCGAGATTTAGCTGGCAATAATTTTTGTGACGCTACTTTCGCTGCTCTACTAAGTCAGGTGGAGTCAGAGAAAACTCGGAATTAGACATTTTTCGAAATAACTACTGACCACTAAGTTCGCAATTTTTAAATCAAATCACGGATATTTGATTTTCTATTGATTGGCTTCCTAGTAACGCTATAAGTACAACATCCTACCTGTTTAAACATTTATATTTCACATCGATAATTTTCTGACTTTAACATATTGTAATAATATGTTTTTTTTCAATATTAAATCGTCGTTTTTACTGTCACAGAATAAAAATGTGTATTGTACATGGGAAAACAGTATTAGATTTTAGCTCTCGGTGTTTTGTCTCCCTCCTACAGCTAAAATATAATACTTTTTTCCCTTGTCTAATAAATAACTATCTTTCACACCATATAGATAATTGCTTGATGGCCAAGTTTGCTTTGATTTGGAGTTCATCAATTGACTTAGCGATTTTTAACTTCAATGATAATTCAAATTTGTATTGCACTTTCATTATTTCTTATAGGACACGAAAAATCCATTTATTTATATCGATTTGTTCTGAATATTTATTCCTGTCTGATTCATTAAAATATCGTCCGATTTTTAGTATAAAGTATCATTAAAAATATTTCTTTGTTCACTATTTAATTTCTTTTTTTTTCGAGTTTGTCGAGTTTGGTGAATATTTTTCCACATTTGAATAGAGGTAGTTATTTTTATGTTAAAACTGTAACTGTAACTGAAATGTTTTGGTTGGTCTTCTTTGGTTATAATCTCCAAACTTTTCAACTGCAACTGCGGTAGTCATCTTTAGTGGCGTGGTAGAAGTACTTTTCTGACGTATAAACTTGACGTTCAAGTGGATAGAAATTGATACAAGTGAAAACAGGTTCTAAACGTTTGCAATACCACATACAATCGGGATACACACATACAGAACATTTTTACCATTTCAAAAATATGTATTTTTGTATGTACAACATCATTGTGAAGGTCGCAATTTTGAAGATAAGTTCATATAAAAAATAAAACTTTTTATGTATTTCATCAGTTCGGACTTCCATTGTCTAATCTAATATATAAAAATGGATGTTTGTTGGTTGGATGTTTCATAAAGAAGGTTTTTAGGCTATCAGTTTTTCTGTAACTCGCCACTACATGGCGCTGTAGAACAATTTTTTGAAGGCACTGTTTTATAACGCTGCGCAGGCCTAAATTCGTTGATTCTGAGTCTGTCAAAACATTGGAACAGCAGCGATACAGCAACATAGTACTAGTATAATATAAATTGATTTGATAACCCTGAAAAAATCAAAAAGATTAACCAAAAATAAAACAGATACAGATGGGTATCAAATGACGGCTTGACTAGTAGTAGGTACACTTTGAAAAAAATGCAAATTCAAGATGGCCGCAGCTTCAAAATGTCTAAAAAATCTGTCTAAAATATGTTTTTTTGTTAACCAGCTGTCGCACCCCTACGAACGACAGCTCTCAGAAGTCGAAACTTGTAATTGCTATGGACTAACGAGGTTTTACCTTTCAACGTGTGATTCCTAACACTAGACGATAGCAAGTGAAAATCGATCGCTCAGCCTGGGGCTTGAACGAGCGACCAACACGGCGGTCGATTTGAGTGAGTGAACAAAGCACCCACGTCGAACCGACCGGCTACCGTCCATCCGGATTACATATTATTCCAAGAATACCTCTATATGGGTATCAAATGACAGGGTTTGACAAGTAGAATAGTATGTAGAACACTTTGAAAGAGATGCAAATTCAAGATGGCCGCACCTAAAAATTGACGGATTACATATTACCTTGTAATACTGAGGCACTAAATGAACTGAACAGAATGAGAGGATTTGACTAACACAATTGGAAACTAAAAACTTGCGAATAAAATAAATAAAAAAATGTTTTCTTAAATGGTTTTATTGAAAAAAATAATGATGTAGATGATGTACAAAAAACTAAAAAATAATTCAAAGGATCCTGGGTAGCACTCATTACACTACTCTCCTCAGCAATCTACGGTTTCGATCTGATAAAAAAATAGTAAAATCGTTGGGCGTAGTATTTACATATTTACTCAGGTNTTTGGTTGTTTGGTTGTTGTTGTATGTTATTTCTTTGTAATTTCAGTTTTTTGTTTAATAAAATTGTTATTTTCGGTTAATCTTTTTGATTTTTTTCCAGGGTTATCAAATCAATTTGTTAGACAATGGAAGTCCGAACTGATGAAACCACGAAACATTGTCAACCACCTTTAAACAAAATTTCTCATGTTTATGTATTTGTATCTAACGCTAACTGCAGTTTCGTCCTGCAAAGGAGTTTTGAAACTGATACAATAAACTGACACAATTAACAAAATTGACCCTTATATATCTATACACCACTATAGGTAATAACAGACGTCCTTAATGCCTTTAAAACATGGATTATGTTTACCTGTGACAATTTAGTAGTTTACATCCGCAATGCTTGTGCATGTTCAAGGATTCCAAATGATTGAGTTTCCAACCCTTGCTTGCATAGTGCAAAATTTTCGTATCATTTAGATTCGCAAACTTGTGGTTGCATTCCAAGGTATGGTTTGAAAACGTCGAATCATTTTTACCTAGTCTGAAGGACCTTACATGTTCAGCATACCGTTTTGAGAAATTTCGGCCACATTGTCCCACATCAATACTATTACACTCCGGACATTTAAGATTATAAACTTTATATTTATTGTTTGTTTGAAGGTGGTTAACAATGTTTTGTGGTGCATTTCATCAGTTCAGACTCGTTGAGATACGTTGACGACACCTTCATAATATGGAACCATGGGAATGCAGAACTAGACACTTTCCTGAAGCAAATCAACAACGTAAGTCCTTCCATCACGTTCACAATGTAGAAGAAAGTCCAACACGAATTGCCATTCTGAACCAGGAATCTAACCACCATCAACTGACTAAGAGAGAAATCGTTAAGACTCAACTAGACCGGGCTCTGCAATACAAAGGAAGATCTCGAAAAGGAACTAGGCATTATCAAAAATGTTGAAACAGCCTTTAGCGAGAAGACAGCAAGAGCTCCACAAGGAAGAGANATATAATGATGATTACAAGAGTAGGTTGGACAACTCCTTGATAAACGGCTGCAAATAGTCGAAAATCTACCTGGAAAAACTACGATGATGCTAGAAAAAGTAGAAGTGAACGTCTACAATCATAACGAAATTGACTGTGTTCTTGCAGTACTTCTCAGCACCGCTCTGTGGAGGAGTAGCTACGCAACATTTCGATATTTTCTCCCGAAGAAGGGTCCTGAGTACTGTTGCAGAATAATTTCCTTCATCCATGCAGTACTTGCAGCTGGATTAGGTTGCAGTCAGTGTTCTTGGAAAGACCCACCATTCAAACACCCAGAATGGCCTAACAGTGATTTACAGACAATTGTACTAACAACAAGTTTGGGATACTTCATTCACGATTTAGCATGGTGTTTGAAGTATCAAGCTGAAGATAAACTAATGATCGCTCATCACTTGTATGGAATTTGGGTGCCATCAAGATTCCTTTTCAGGGGTTATGCAGGAGCTATGGCATCCTGCACCTTAGGTGGGTTGGAGTTCTCAAATCCTCTGCTCCAAATCAGGTGGTTCATCAGGACTGAGGGAATGTATCCGTCTTTGTTATTTACCGTGATAGAAACACTTTTTTTAATAGCTTTTGCAATGATTAGAATATTAATTGGCACTTATTATTTGATAATTACTTTGGAGTATGCGAGTGAAGAATGGGATATCATTCTATTTGGGGGTACAATCCAAGTTATATCTTTTTTGTTTTTTGCTCAAATAGTGAAGTATTGGATGGAAAAATACGTTTGGATTCGAAAAAAAAAATCAATAGAAAATATAATTAATTTGAAAAAGTTTTGTAATAAATGAAGTTGAAGTGAAGCAGGGGAGCCCACGATGAAAAATGGGGATTTATACGAGCGTCATTGAGGCATATTAGGTTGCAAAGCTTAGATGATAAGAAGAAAAAAATGTTATATAATATATACTTTTTCATCGGTGGGAGAAGCGGCTATATATTTTTTAATATGTAAAAAAAAATACTGTTGCATGGACATACTCGAGCGCGTCAGATATTGATAGCATCAATGTCCTACGTATTTTCAATAATGTTGGTATGTTAATCTGATCGTTTGCATGATATGGGTGGTTGTACGTAAGGGTTAAAAGTGAAAAGAAAAAAAAATTAATCGAGCGCGTCAGATTTCCTAAAGGAGATGAAGCAGTGAAGTTATCAAAAAATATTTTATATACAGGATGTTTATTAAACATGCTGTTACTATACCTTGGACTATTCTAAGGATATTTTATCCTTCGGTGATTTTTGATAGGGCGTTTTGTTTCGAAGATAAGGGGCGAAAAAAAATTGCGACAATAACAATTTTGGTAATTTTAAAATTATCAACTTAGCCGAAATGGAAGTATAGCGTACTACATTAGACCTACCAAGTAATAAAAAATTTAACAATTCCGTTGGTACCTATCAACAACATTCCGATTACTACAAACGGCTTCTGACATTCAATTTGAATAGTATGTCTCGTAAGTGATCCTGGTGTTTTTGAAAGAGTTCCGGAGTCGATGACGAGAAGATTTGATTCTTGCATCCGATCGGGAGTAATCATTTTCAACAGTTCTTGTAGATTAAGAAACATTACCTGTAAATGAGATACAAGTCAAAATTCTGACTTGCGAGTCAGAATTCTGAGATACAAGTCAGAATTCTGACTTGCAACTCAGAATTCTGAGATACAAGTCAGAATTCTGAGATGAAAGTCAGAATTATACAAATCGAAAAAAATATTTTTGTGTGGCCCTTCAACGCTTTCGTATTTATTCGATATTGATAGTACCGAAAAATTTCGGGCCTTGGTTTCAAATAAAATCACAACGTTTTCTTGAAAGAAAATTCATTAGAAAGTATCATTTTCAAATAATGGATCTTACCGGTATTTCACTCAAATTACTTTTCATGTATGAAAAATCATAATCATATCAAATCTTCTTCTAGGAATAATGCATTATAAAATAAAATTTCATGGAATTCATTTCGTCTGTAGTTGTGGCATAAAGCATTCGAAAACCTATATTTAGGAAAGTACGTTTCACGGGGAAGTCAAGTGTGGAATATAGGGAAAAAATCAAGAAACATTGTTTTCGAGTTTTGATTCGATAGTTTTTGGCTCAGATCAGAAGCGAGTCTACAGAGGAGATGGATGTTGAGTTTACGATTCCAACTGACCTCTCTGTAAATTTAGTTCAGGAGCGAGTCTACAGAGGAGATGGATGTCGAGTTCACGACTCCAACTGACCTCCTTGTAAATTTAGTTCAGGAGCGAGCCGGGGTACTTTATAACACTGCCTTGTACCAAATTCTTGAGCGGCGTACGCAGAATCTGTCTTAGGTGGGGGAACAAACCTCCTTGAGTAGGTTAGCAAACGTTTGCGCTCAAATGATGATTCACCAAAAGCGAAAAAGCCCTGCACGGCTGAATCTAAGGCATCGTCAGGTGTAGCTGACGTGCAAAAACCCCAATATATGGGAAGGTTGTCGTGGGTAAGAAGGTGGGAATATTGCAACTTGACTATTCGACTACCTCATTAACAGAGCATATACTTTGTGCCTGCCCCGCTGGGTACCGAATCAGGTCTTTAGAGTTCGGCAGAGCCGTACTCTTACCATCTGAGCTGAAAGACCACTCATCATACGAACTAATCGGCTTCCTTAAGAAGCTTTAAACCCAGCCACAATAAACCTTTGCGGGTTGCGGTGGAGGGTCGAATGACCCACTCACTTTGGACCTAACCTAACCTAACCTACCAAAAAAGAGAATACGAGCGGTACGGAACGATTATTCATTTCATTTGACTCTAAAGACCTGACCTTGTTGAAAAACTGAATGGATATTTTTTATTAGATTCAATATTACTGAATCTATTGGAGATAGCTGAGATTGGTTCGAAAATAATTTTTCACCAAAATATAATATTTTGATATAATTATGCATTGAAAAGATAAACATTTTCTGTCACAGTTATATCGGAAAGTTGCTTTCATTAAAGTAGATTTACTGAAACCATAAAAATTGGTACTTCTGAAATTCGACGTAACGTTTAAAAAGCTGTTTTTTCCAATTTTATTTGTAAAAATTTTGCTTTTCTCCGATAACTAATCGAAATACTAATCACTGTTTCAAAATCCCTCGGTAGACTCAGATACTCAACATACGAAACAAAATATCAGTTGACATTGACATGTAACTAACCCTCAAAATTTCAGTGACATAAAAAATGATAAAAAATGTAACGAAAAATAATCACATTAATTACGAATCGATCACTGCCGTCATTGTTAGCAGTATATTATGGAGACTAGGGTATAATGCCGTGAGATATTTCCTACCAAGAAAGAATCCGGAATACTGTTGCAGAATCATTTCGTTCATCCACGGGCTGGTCATAGCCTTTATCGGAATCAACCAGTGCTTTCTGATAGACAATCCGTTCAACCACCCCGAATGGCGCACCAGTTACATTCAATCTTTTCTGATGGTAACCAGTTTGGGATACTTCATTCATGATCTGATGTGGTGCCTGAAGCACCAACGGGATGATAAGCTGATGATAGCCCATCATATTTACAGCGTCTGCGCATTATTCAGGATGCTATTCAAAGGTTATTCCGGAGCGCAGGCGACGTGCGCATTGGGGAGCATGGAAATCACGAACCCCTTTCTCCAAGCCAGATGGTTCATAAGAAGCGAGGGAATGTATCCCTCTGTATTATTTTCATCGGTAGAAACTACATTTATGGTGGTTTTTGTGTTGGTGAGGATTGTTCTTGGTACTTATTATATGGTTATCATCTTCAAACAGCCAAGGAACGAATGGGATTTTATTTTCTTATCCTTCACAATTTATGTTATGTCTTGGATATTTTTCATCAGCATAGCTAAATATGCATTGAAGAAATATGTTTCGAAAAAAATACCAATAATCGATCCAGGTAATAAACGAACTTAAATTATTTAAATGTATACTCATTTTTTAGTTCTCAGTTTTCTGTCTCTTTCAAGTGGAATAATGAACTAAACGCATATTTGGTGACATTTTAAAATTTATGCAAACTTCTTCGAAAATTAAATTCACATTTGAAGAGAAAGATGATCGCATTTCATTGAATAGGATGCTGAAGATATAAATATAATTTTCTCACTCTATCAGTGTTGTGCTTAACAAACTCAACAACTATACATATACGAGTAGGTCAAAAAAATACTCTAGGTTCCAACCGAAAATGTATTTCCAATGTTTTGGTCATACGGCAGTCCCCTCCAGGCATTAATAAAAATAGCTCTGTCAGGATGGTTCTATCGAAAATTGGAAATTTTCATTCGCAGATCGAATTTTCCTTCATTGGCCTGTTTTTATTAACTAGCAGTAGAATGCCATATTCACAAAACAAAAAATACACTTCCGAAATATCATGATGTACACCATTATCAAATTAGATCTAGGTTAGGTTAGGTCAAAAGAGTGTGGGTCTATTCGACACTTCACCGCAACCCGCAAGGGTTTTTGTGGCTCACGCTTATGCACCACCGACCAAATAAACCCAGCTTCTTAACGAAGCCGATTATTTTGTATAGTGAGTAGTCTTTTAGGTCAGATGGTAGGAGTACGGCTCTGCCGAACTCTGAAAAACTGAGTAGGTCCCCAGCGGGGCAGGCACAAAGTATGTGCTCTGCTGTTTCATCAATGTCCAAACAGAGGCGACACACACTGTCTTCAGACAGTCCGAGTCTCTGCATATGAAAAAAAAAATTAGATCTAACAGATTGATCTGGTTTCAATATCTCTTTATGTACGAAAGCATATAATGAACTGTTAGAATGAATAGAAAAACGATCCTTACAAATAAATATGTTTTTCTACATTCGTACTCTAACAATACACTTATATGACCATAATCCGTTTCATAATGATATCCATTATGATACAGATTTTTCATAACGATACAGATTATCAACCAATAGAAACCCATAATTTTTCAATCAAGAACCTGTTCCTTTGTTTGTCCTAGATTCTAAAGTAAGTAACTAATTGCTTTATTTGTCAAAATCAGTTTTCATATTACCTACCTATATTATCAAAATGTCTGAAAACAGCGATATAGAAGGAATACCATCGACTCCAATATTTTTAAAAGATCAGATTAATTACAGTTGTCATATTCAATATAAATATAATTAGAATCTTTATAGTTTTCATATATCCATGATAATACCATTAAGTTTGTGTTTTTTTATAGAAAAACGATCCTTACAAATAAATATGTTTTTTCTACACCTGTACTATAATAATGCACTTATACGCCCATAATCCGTTTCATTATGAGATCCGTTATGATACAGATTTTTCAAAACAATACAGATTTTTAATCAATAAAAAGACATAATTAAACGGTTTTGTTTAGCTTAACCTGTTTGTTTGGGTCAAATTCAGTGATTGAAGTTTGACCCCCTTCCTGTTGATTGGTCTGACATTTGCTACACATATTTAGTTTCGATACAATTTGATACATTCTGTATTATTGTAAATCCAAAACTGCCGCAGCTACAAAATGGCGGATCATATATTGTTTCACAACCACCTCAATATGATTAATCACCTCAACAATAATGGATTCTACACAATTGCATATGACATAGTTATTTTGTAGACCGGAAAATTTGTTAACACAATATGCGATAGAGCGCAGGATGGGCTCAAATAATTAGAAACATGGTGTAAAGAACACTCACTGTCGATCAATCCCAAGAAGACTGAGATGGTCCTTTTCACCAGGAAAAGAAGTTTAACGAGCTTAAAACCTCCTGAAATCTTCAAAAGCCAACTAAACTTCTCTGAAGAGGTGAAATACCTTGGTATTATCCTCGACAAGAAGCTAACATGGAACTCTCATCTACAGAGTAGAGCAAAAAGAGCATACGTGGCTTATGAGCAATGTCGGAGGACAGTGGGACGCGCATGGGGTCTTTCACCCCGTGTAGTCGCCTGGATCTACACTGCAATAATAAGACCTATGTTAACGTATGGAGCCATTGCATGGGGACCTAAAGTTCTACAAGCAA